GATCCTTTTATTAAATAACCTTGTTTTCTTTTTTGTTTGCAGGGGGAAAAGAAGCTATGTCACGTTAAGAAATCATAAAGATCAGTTGTATTATGCGTATATACATTATGATACCAGAACAAATGTTGATTATCAGAATGTCATTTTGGAATACCTCTAAACAAATACCACATTGTCTTTAGCCCGTATCAGTATTAGTATCATGCAATATAAAGCTATTATTCTTTATTTAATTCAGTATAATGCTTTTCCTCAAAAATAGTTTTGCCATTTTGTTAGGGTTGAGACGCTAAGAAATGGTTTCAAATGTACATTACACGAACCCTGAACCATTGCAAAATGATGGTGGTTCTCTCTCTCTCTCTTTACTTTAATCATGCATTATCAACTACATATAAAGCAGCAACCAAAAACTTAGGGTTATCTGAGATAGGTGAAAGTAAGAGTTAAAAAGAAAGTCATGCTAAAACGGCGCTTCACTCCCCCCCCCCATGAAAAAAATAAAATAGATTAGTAGTCCTCCTCTCCAGCACCCCCCCCCCCGCTTTAATATCACATTTTCACTTGGCAGCCCAAGGGGGCCGGGGGTGGGAGGAGGGGGGTTAAACCCCTAACCCCCCCCCCGTAGATCTGCCCATGTTACCATATCATTCCACGACATCTTGGTCTTCCTCTTCTTCTCAATAGGGACTTTTAGATTTGCGTGGACGTGGACGTGTTACGTCCTTTTAAGGCACTGGCAGTCACATGTCACGTCCTTTTAAGCACTGGCACTGCCTTAAAAGGAGGTCACACGTTTCAGTCCACGTTCCCATCGTGCAAATCTAAAGGTCCCTAATATTGATTTACTGGTCGAGGTTCATTATTTGCTATTCATTTGAAATCACCAGATTTCAGCGGGTTAACGCTTTCACAACGAAAAACTTCTCCATGACCATGTTTCTGCCCTTGCGCGATCGCCTCCAGCTCCAGCAGACATAGCGCGGCAGCGTGCACACGTACCGCTACTAAGGGCGCAGTAGGCCTATAACCACTGCTGACGGCGGCACTGCACTGTGAGCTGAATCGGTAATAATAGGCCTACTCATAGAACGAGAAATCTTGCACGCTAATCTAAATTCCATTTCATTTGAAAATTGAAACTCAATATCGTGTTAAAGTTATACCAGAAAAGAAAATCTTTATATTATAATTCCACGGGGGCGATTTTTTATTTTGCAATCGCCCCCGTGAGCAACCTGACGGGGGCGATTATGTAGCTCACGGGGGCGAATCGCCCACCGCCCCCGTGTATTTTGAGCGCTGTCATAGCGATTCATCCAAATAAGAAATCCAAGTAAGAGGCATTTTGAAAGTTTTAAGAAAATTCTTTCAAATTCCAGGATATTGGGTGTTCTTTTTCAGGAAACTCTATTTAAACGAGTGAAAGCACTGGCGGTTCTGTTTTTTAAACTGTAACAATTCTCCTTTGATCAGATATAGACCAAAAACAAGCCTCATTATCTTCAGTATACAAGTGTCATTTCGGACCTTACAGCTTTCATAGAAATCGCTTCTGGACCGTCAAAGAAAAAGTTTGAGAACCCCTAGTCTACGCATTATACACATCAGGACCAACTTGACAAAAATTTGAGGGGGGTTCGACCCCCCTCCCCCCTCCCCCCTCCCCCTCCCCCCTCCCCCTCCCCCCTCCACCCCTGCGTATACGCGCCTGCATGTGCATCCCTTCCTCCTTATTCCCTTATCCATCGTTACGGTCACTACCATTTGAGTAGGGCCGGCCCCCTCCTTAATAACGACTCCAAAGCCATCAAGAATGACCCCATCATAGATTACCATTCTGCCGTTCTTTGGAGGGGCCGGGCGCGGCCTTTTCAGAAGTGTTTCTACACTAACCTTTTCATGCACTCCGGCTTAACATAAACAAGCATGCTAAGATTGTTTTGAAAAGAAGCATAATTTCGACTCAGTTTCGCATAACCTAAAAATAAGAATACGGCCAGTCACCCCTTCCCCCCCCCCTCTCCTCAATGCATCCGCCTTCACGCACCCCCTTCCCTTTGTCTTTCCCTTATTCGTCGTTACTGCCATTGTCACTAATTTTTAGTGCCATTTCGTTGTCTTTCTTTCTCCCCGGCTCCTCTCTTCTTTTTCTTTCCTCTTTTTTGAACTCTCTCTTTCTTTTCTTTACTTTTTTGTTCTCTTTTCTTTTATCTTCTCCTTTTTCCCCCTTTTTTTCCTTCTTTTTTTCTTTCTCTTTTTTCCTTCTCAATTTTTTTTGCTTCGCCAATAGGGGGGGCCGCGGCCGTTTCGGCCCACCCCTGGATCCGCCACTGCATTGTATGGCCTTGAAATTTATTTAAAGCACCGATAAATTTGACATTTTTTATTTCTTGAAACTCTTCTAAATTTCTCGTTTTTGAGCCCATTTTTTTTTAAAAGTTGCTTATTCTAACACTAGATTTCAAAATGGCTATGCAAATTTTTAATTTCATAATTCAATCCTGTTGAAATATTACCAAAACTTTGTATTACCTTTAACTATAATTATTTATCTACGGTTCGTGGAAAGGTTCGAGGTACATATATGTATATACATATTGTATGATAGCCTGACTACACAGATCACTGTACATTTGTCTCCTATATTCATATCCGGTACATGTCATGATTTGATCTGTAAAGGGCAATCTTACCCTTGTAATAATTTTATTTATATGAAAACAGAAACGTAAAATAAACAGAATGGCGAAGTTTTAAATAAATCGGACAAATAATACAAAAGTTATGAATGTTAAAAATATGAGGTCACTGAGAGATCAATGAGAAAAAAACCCCACCCCTTGGTCTTAAATTTTTGAAAAATTATTTTAGTAATTTGTGTGTTGCAACAAATAGGGAAGTTGTCCGCCATTACATAAGAGAGTGAATCTACCAATTCAGCCAATTTAAAGAGCATACACTTATAATAATTACAACAAAACATTTTTTTTCCTTCATCCGTTTTCATTGATCCTTTCTGCTTAGTATAGTTTGCTATCAAGGTTGGATTTCCCTTGAAGGATGTGTAGCTTTAAAGAAAGTGCACTTTCTGAGAAACTTCTAACTCTTGGTAGATTCAGAGACAAACTTTTGATTACCAGTAACCCTTGCAGAATGAAAATAAAAAATCTTTACAGACACTGTGATAGTTAACAAAAAAGAAAAGTTTTGACTCAAGGGGACCCTCAATTATTGCGAATAATTTGGATGACATTGGTTTTCGAAGTCACAAGGACAAATTTATTTCACAATATGAAAATTGAATTGACCACACTGTGGATAATTTTTGTGAACTCATCTCAAAGCGTTTTCAAGTGTATCAGTTCTTTAGTTGTAAAAAAGTCTCCACTTGAAATGAAAAAAAATAATGTAAAAATTCAAAACCCTGAATGCAACATAAGAACCCCATTATAACCACATGCCTTTAATACATTTAGCATGTTTTGGCCGGGAGCGAATTTCACCAAGGAATATGTCAGGTCACCCTTGGAATTCTACAATGTGGATTCATTTTTACGAATACAATGTGCCCAGATAGTGCATACAAGGTCGGCACATGTAGAGGGTCACAAACTTCATTTTTATCATTTTGTAAACGCACTATTGTATTTTGACAATCTACACGGAAGGCATATTATCTATCGATTTCTCCTTTTTCCATGTTCCCCCCCCTCTCTCTCTCTCTCTCTCTCTCTCTATCTACCTCTCTCTACCTCTCTCCGCTATCTCTCTGTGTCTACTATCGGCCTTCCTGTTCATATTGCATCGATATTCTATTTAATACCAAAAAAAAACTGGATCAAGATCACGGTCGTCCTAATTGGTAACAGACATGAACAAATGATAACTTTCAGTTTAAAGTACATGCACTTTAGACAATTTCAGCACAGCTTGCGTGCAGTGATCCATGGTCGCTTTATGATGTCATGTCAAAGTCTTCAATCAAACCCTGTTGAGATTGCTGCTTGATGCCAGTCAAATTCTAAGACCATTGTGTCTTACTCCGGAGCTCTTTTGAAAGAAATAGCGAAAAAGGGAATATTGCCCGGGAATTCTTTCACTCAGTTATTGCCAATAATGATCTTAGAATTGCTTGTTTGAGTTTGGGCAAGACGGCAAACGAGCCGTTGCAGGCTGGGCGCTTTTATCGATGGATCGCTCGTCGCGAACACGACACGGGGAGCACGGGGTCATTATTTATCTAATGTTAGCCTAAGAATTGTCGTACAAATGAAAACAAATTTGGATATGTCAACTTGCGATCACTGCTTGACGGGTGTTCGAGCAAAGATCTGTTTGCCTTCGAAGTAAAGTTCAAATACGGCATAATCACTCAGTAAGCATGTCGGAGTGATCTATACTGGGCAATCCATATGTGATTTCAACGGACCCAACCTGATCGGAACATTCTGTCATGTCATTAATTGCTATTTACACTTACAGAAGATGTCAATGTTTTGCAAAATAAATTATGCATTTTTAATCTTTAATGGAAATGAATAAAGCAAGCAATCAATAAATCAATACCACCAACAAAAAAAACACGCTTGCAACCGTACCAGTTGCCCTTTCCAGTGAAGCTCCTTGATATTACATTATGCCTCGAGAGATTCGACCTTAGCACTAGGTGTATGTTTATTGTCCCTGTGGGGTGGCTACGGGGGTAAATGGGGGACGCGCCCCTCCAATCGAATAACAAATATGAAATTGGAAAAAATAACAAGAGAGAAAAAGAAAGGAAATAATGGGAAGGGGTGAAAAAAGAAAACAATGGCATCCTTTCCCACTTAGCAGAGACCTTGAAAGTTAGCATATCATTTCCAGAGTGAAATCGGTGTACCCTCCCCTCCCCGTGACCCCCCTCCCAATCCCATGATTCTCGTGCCCCCTCATTGGCTGGACTCGGGATACGCCACTGTCTGATTCAGTGAAGTTCACTGAATGCTGAACCAAACGCGTTGGTGCCTACATTTCATACTTAGTACCTGGGCTACCGTCACACAGCATCAACAAGTCTGTCCTCTACCATTAACTACTAACTTTCTTCAACCATGATTACAGGAAGTTTGCACCAATACATAACAGCCATCCCACGCAATGATTGTTTGGTCCATTATTTGAGCAGCCTTTAGTGTGTATGATCGTACGATGCTTGGATTTTCTTACTTGTGAACGTACTCTCGTTATTTTGCTTCTGCATTGTTTTTCTATTGGTAAAGAACCCTTGGGGGAAGGATCCGTCCTGAGACAGAACAATGTCTTGGTAAGTCCGACTTGATTCGTTTCATTGCGGCACTTGTTGCTTTACCTCTCCTTGGATTGCGTTTGTGCTTTCAAATTCAGGACATATTCTGCATAGACACACGGCCAAGTCACATCAGCATGAGAGCGATCGAGTGTGCGATTTGTTATCCTGACAATGTTCTATGTGGTTGCTTTCTATGTAGATAAGTCCCAACTTTATCGATTTACATTATGACTGTTCGTTTTATTCTACATAGTTATTTCCGCACTCTTCAATGACGAATACTTATTTATATTTGCTTTACATTGTGCTATGTTGATTCCACCAACTTTGTTTCATGTATGATTTTATTCTCTTAGGAACCTTCCAACAAATTTGTAGCATTTACTGCCACTTTATACATGCCTTCGCCAGCCCCCACTGTAACTCATTAATCCTTGATTTAGAATTGACTAGTACAACTACAAGCAAGTCATTTGATTTAGTATATTTTACTTTGCCATGTTTAATAAAGAGAACTTTGTACTCTGTTTGTTTCTATTTTGGATGAGTGCAATTATTGACTGATTATGATTGCGGACTCTGAGGTTTCGGCTTTGTGTAACTAGACACAATAATAAGTCTTAATAATTATTTTCTCCCTTTGACCCCCTCTCTCTCTCTCTCTCTCTCTCTCTTTCTCTGACTCTGTCTGTCTGTCTATCTCTCTTTCTCTGTCTGCCTGCCTGTCTGTCTCTGTCTATCTTTCTCTCTATTTTTGCTTCTTATTTATCATGATTCTAAAGTTTTCGAGGCAAGATGACGTCCCACACAAAGCTCTCAACAGGGATATACCCTCATCACGTGGTTATCGAAGAAGAACGAGGGGAGAAAATTGTAAGTACGGAACAGACTTTTAATTGCTGCGATTAATTCTAAGCGTTTTTTTATCACGCAATATCATTGTTTCGTTGACCTTCAGTGATTCTGTAATGAACGTTTGGTGGTAGAAAAGTTATCACGCATGATTTTAAACTGGGGCGGTAACGTGGGCCAAGGCACCGACGAGGGGGCACCGACAGCAAATTGAAAAAAAAAGGGGGGGGGGGGAGGCACCGGTCTTTTTTTTAGTCGATGCCAGGTGAATAACAAGGGTAATGGGTCATGGTAGGGTGTAGCAAGGGTTCGCACCATCATTTCCCCCCTCTTTTGCCATTTTATGGTTCAGGTGGTAAGCGCTCCGTTCCCCCCGCCTACGCCCTGCCCTAAAAAGGTCAACTGCCCCATTCAATAACTGTATCGGCCATGAACTCGACCCGGATTCGTTAAATATTTATTTAGGTTGAGTCAACAAGACCAACAGCAATTAAGTGGTCCAGTAAAATACTTCGCGAGTGACGGGGCGAGTGACCCGTGGTGCCCATACCGTTTAACAGCAACCCTGATGTAATGTCATAACCATTTCCTTTGTAACATTTCAAATTCCGTTTGGCTTTGAGTACTACGTATTTTGTCAAAAAAGTGCTCGTATTCTTTCCTTTTCGTGATAAATTCAAACAAAATTGTATTTCCCTAAAGGACAATACCTAGTTTATAAAGTTTGAAAGCCATGTTATTCAACGCAGAATGTGTATTTGTAGCAGTAAACGAAGTGCGTATTAGTTGGATGTGCCAGTATACCGCATATAAAGGTTAAGCTTAAATTATTAATATGACCCACACACTGATTAATGAGCAATGTGTAACTTAACATGTGTTCAAATGACCTATGCTTTATGTACTGTATATAGTTGTAACCATGTGAAAAAAAGAATTTCCACTTAATGTGGATAATTAAAAAAATCAAATCTATACCTCTTTACCTTTCCCTACGTGTATCTTTCTCTTTTTTCTTTTGTGTTCATTTAATATCGGTTCGATTTATTTCAAAACGTTCGCCATTCTGTTTCTCTCGTTCGATTTTACACATATGAACTTATTACAAAGGTTGAATTGTTAATACAAATATAAGAATTACGCGCTGAACTTGAACTGTCGTCATTGAAGTTCGGTAGAATGAAAAGTACGCATAACAATTTATTTTTATTTGTAGGAGTGCTGGGGGTACAGAAAGAGTAACATTCGAACTGTTGCAGTATACGGTGCGGGCATCCTGACCTGCGGTGTACTATTCCTGATCATATTTTATTGGAAACCCGACTGGGGACTGCGTCTTACCCATGCCAAATGTCCAAATGAACACGCCGACAGCCTGATAGTGAAGGTAATTTTTCAAAGTTTGAAGACATGTTTTTTTAATTTTGTTATTATTATTTTCTAGAGTACTGTTTTTGTCTCATTGTCTTTTCATTCTGAATCTAATCCATTGAAATGAGATTCAAAATAACGTCAAGAGAATTTCTGTTAGGGAGTACTTGCATTTGTTTGGAACCTAAAAACACAAGTATTTCGCAATGCAAGAACATCATACAATGACGTACTGTCCATTCCGATAAGTTTGATTATAAGTATAAGTATAAGTATAGATAATCTATTCTGGTAATGGCATATAATAATTATTGTTTCTATATCTTTCAATTTAACACCTCTCGCCTTCTCTCCCCTCCCTCTCCCTCCCTCCCTTCCTTCCTTTCTTTCTCTCTCTCTCTCTCTCTCTCTTCTTCTCCGTCTCCGACGTGATTTTCCTTTTCTTATTCCCTTGTTACTTTCTCCTCTTCCTTCTATTTGTCTTTTAATTTTTGCTCTTCATTTTCTTCTTCGTATCATCTTTTCATATATTTTTAAAATCTGTCTTCGAATCCCCCTCTCTATCTCTTTATCTCCTCCTCTTCCTCTCTGTCTCTCTCTTTCTCTCTGTGTCTCACTCGCTGGCTCTCGCGGCACCCCCTCTCTTCCTCTCTCACTCTCCCCCCTGCCCACCCCCTCTCTCTCTCTTGCTCCTAATTCATCAATTCCCAGGATATCTATGCAAGGGACCATAAATGTAAAATCATAAGAGAACGTGTCATCGGAGACTCGGACATCAGGTAACATTCTTTCTTATATTTCAATATCGCGCACTTCACTTAAGAATCAAAATGAAATTGTTGACAATTACGCCAGAAATCTCTGTATAGGAATTGCCTTTAATCGGCCAACCAAATTACTTCACTACTGCTCAGACATCGAAAATACATCTCCATTATACATATTGAAGGACAAAAACACAAGTCCGAAAATCTATTAGGAGACCAAAATATGTGTGCATCGTAATACAAAATTGGGTTTCGCCCCCTTAAATCATTTTTTAGGCCGCCATCCTTGTCACGCATCGCTTATGATTGCGGTCTCTTGCACTTTTTCAACAGATAGTTCGGATAATACTAGGAAGAAACAAATGTTGACATGAAGAAATTAATGTTTGTATATGTTGTATTATACCTTACATTTATTTATATGTTCTTTGATATTCAGTTATATTTTGAAAAATGCAGAAATGAAATAAAATAAAATCAAAATATGTCTTTTCCCCTCCACAGCGATGGGCCGACTCTCTCACTGCCATTGATCAACACAGTAACACAGCGAGAGACGAAACTAGACAAGGGGCACATGAGATACTTCAAATTTCAGAAAGCGGTCTATATTTGGGATTCAGATGGACAGCTTTACTTTAAGCTCAGGTATTTTTCAAAATATTTAAAGTAGTAAGATGTATTTTTCCAGAATCCGTTTTTCCTAAGTGTGTTTGGTCATTCTGGAGGTTAGTTATTTCGAAGGTTCGTTCATTAGACAGTGATCAGTCAACGAGCATTACGATTCAAACATAAACTTGTAAAATCAAAGAGGCTTTGGATTTCTGGACAGTAACAAGCCTCGCGGATTAATGATCATTTTGATAACATTTGGATAAAAGTGCAGTTTGATTGTCGCACCTCTGGGTTATTAAGCATGATTGAAGAACCCATTTATTAATAAACAGTTGTGATTAACGAACCTTTGGACTAGTCAACATTTTCATTAATTTGACGAACCTTTGGACCAGTGAACATTTTGATTAATTTGACGAACCTTTGGACTAGTGAACATTTTGATTAATTTGACGAACCTTTGAATTAATGAAATTTTGATTGAATAACCTTTGGACTAATGAACATTTTGATTAATATGACGAACTTTTGGATTAATCAACATTTCGATCTACGAAATTTAGGAATAATGAACATTTTTAATAACGAAGCTTTGATTAAAGATAAACTTTAGTACTGGTAATGCGATTGCATTGTGAAAGAAAAGGTGTGGAAAGGATCAGAAACAGTTGATCATGTAGCATGTAAGTATTGGTGTGCACTGCAAGGTTCTGGAGTCATCAAAATCATGATAAATTTGACCGAGTCTTGGTAAAGTAACAAGCACATACACAGAAAGCTATGTATGGGACAACACGCATGGTGTCGGGGTTGGTACTACCTTGATTCCTTGTCTTTCTATGCACATTACTCAGCCAGTATACATTTTCTTCCAAAATTGTTTGGCACATGTCATTTATTTGTAATCTTGGACATTCAGTGTAAGTTTCGTTTGATTCTGTGAGAAATAATTTTCTTTTTTTTACCAGTACTCAACCTTCTCTTTAATGCACATTTTGATTAAAGAAACACTTGATAAAACACCCTCTGAATTGATAAGTCGTTATATTCACGGTGCTAATCGGATTGCCGTATCTGTTAATGTAATGACAGACATTCGGACTGAAGAATACTTGGGGGTTTAGCACGAGAAGTTTGACAATGTTTGATAATCAAATAAGGAAGCTACCTACATGATCCGTTATCATAGCTACCTTGGGTGTTAGAGCTGAATAAGGCATGGATTCTAATATTTCTTCCTCAGTCATATTTCCATATGGGAATGTTGAAATATAATTATCTATTAAAATATCATTTTGACCGCTCTCCTTGGAAACATTCCCACCTCTTCTATCGTTTTTTTTCTTACAGAGGCCTTGCACACAACGTCCCCTGTTCAGATTTCTATGATATCTACAGCAAAGGACTCGACGAAGAAACAACTCAAGAAAGGTAGACAGATTCTCATTTCGGATCATAAGATTTATAATAAAAAAATGATACCGCTTGCATTAAGCACTATTCTCTGATTTAGTGAGATAACACGAACATTCTATGTTGTAATATACCTTCCCTCAAAATAAAGATCATCAAATAATCATCTCCATTCGATTACGTTCGGTATAGGGGATCTTTATCTAGTAAACTATAAAGACTGAAATAACAGGAGTGAAAACTCAATGTTTGCATTCAATTTGCAGTTATAGATACGAAACCTTGTGTTATGTAATATCTTTTCCCCCCAATGAATCTGCGTTAGATGGAGGCAACACATTCGAAATCAGTATAAGTTTTATTCAGTAAACTAGAGACAAATATTTGGTAATAAGCTGGCTTAAGAGCATTGTAAAGTGGGCTATCGTTTCTTCAAGGCCTTTGCAGTTATATGAATATTTCCGGGGCGATAAAGGATTTCATTATTGTCCACTTGCATATTGCTGCCTGAAATGCGTTTTAACTGCAGTGGACTTATCCACTGTATACTCACTACCCCCCCCCCCCCCCACACACACACACGTAGATACCCACGTCCATAATGTCTACTCTCATGATTTAGAATGGGGGTCGTTCTTACACACTCCCCCTAAGCCCCACACGCGCATACATATAGTGGGGGCTGTTAGGGCTAAATAGGGGTTGTTTGGTGCAGATTCTTCTAAAAGCACCAAATTTGGCCCAGAGGTAGATTATACCACACTTTTACAATTTCTGCCGGACGCTAAGAAGGGCACCCTCTGGGTATGCCATATTGGGCAAATCCGAAATGGCCGCCATCTGAGTTTAAGGTCAAGCGTAGTTCCAAAAGAAAAATCGCTTGTATGATAATAGTTTATATATTGATGGGGTTTTGGGGGTCAGAGAATCTGATGTTGATGTTCTTTCATCGATTTGAGGTCTCCTAGGGGCTGCCATACTGGTCATATTGGTCAAATCCAAAATGGCCGCCATCTGATAGTTACAGGTCAATAGTAGTTCCAAAAGGAAAAGAGCTAAAATGATAACAGTTTATGTATTTATGGATGTTTCGGGGTCAGAGAATCTGGATATCATGTTCTTTTACCAATTTGAGGTTTACTTGGGGCTGTCATGCTGGTCATATTGGTCAAATCTAAAATGGCTGCCACCTTTGAGTAAAGGGTCAAGTGTAGTCTCAAAAGGGAAAGGGCTAGTATGATAACAATTTATATAGTAAGGGGTTTTCCTGGTCAGAGAATCTGATTATGATGTTGCTTGTATTAAGTACAGGGCTCCTTGGGGCTATCATGCTGGCCATATTGGCCAAATAAAAAAATGGCCGCCATCCGAGTTAAAGGTCAAGCGTAGTTTTAAAAGGAAAAGGACCAGTATGATAAAAGTTGATGAATTCATGGGGTTTACGGGGTCGGATAATCTGATTATGATGTTCTTTTATCAATTTTATGTCCCCATCCTGTCCTAAGGCTACAATGAAGTCCATTTCCTGGTTGAAGAAGATGAGGGAAGATGCGCCAAATTCATACCTGAGTGGGTATAAATCTTGGCCTGCGCCCATATGTTTCATCAATAGGCAAACTTTCCTCTGTGAAATGCATAATAAATTCGTTTTCGAGGATTGGCAGGGAAAGTAGATAAACATTAGAAACAGACCATGGATAAAGAAATAAACAGCTTGTTCGATTTGTTTTGAAGCATTATATTCAAAGACCCGGACAGTTTTATTTGTATTATCCATATAAATAACGTCTATAATCACTCTCAGATGGGAGATAATACCAATACGAAATGTATTAAGCAACGTCTAGACATATAGGTGGAATCTCAACTTTATTTTTCTCATACTTTACAATTCGAAGCTTTGCATGGGATCTTAATCCTGTTTTTCCTACATACATCAATGCCCCCATTTAAGCATACTTTGAATCTGTTCACGCTCCGAAAAGTTCGTGGTCTTACCCTATTATCCATACAAAATAACGTCTATAATCACTCTGAGATGGAATAAAAACCAATACGAATTGCACTATGCAACGTCGAGACATGTGACCTTTGTAAAAGTTCGTTCCCGATTTTGGCGCATGCGGAGTATCTAATTACGAACTCGCTTATTGATGAAAGAACATCATAATCAGATTATACGACCCCGGAAACCCCATAAATTCATCAACTTTTATCATACTAGCCCATTTCCTTTCGAAACTACACATGACCTGTAACTATCAGATGGCGGCTATTTTGGATTTGACCAATATGACCAGTATGGCAGCCCCAAGGAGACCTAAACTCAATGAAAGAACATCATAATCAGATTCTCTGACCCCCAAAACCCTATAAATATATAAACTATTATCATACAAGCGCTTTTCCTTTTGGAACTACGCTTGACCTTTAACTCAGATGGCGGCCATTTCGGATTTGCCCAATATGGCAGTCCCAGAGAGCGTCCTTCTTGGCGTCCGGCAGAAATCGTAATAGTATGGTATCTACCTCTGGGCCAAATTTGGTGCTTTTAGAAGAATCTGCACCAAAATATCCCTAACAGCCCCCACTATAATGTCTACGCCCATGATTTAGAACGGATGTCATTCTCACATACCCCCCCCCCCCCCACGCTAAAACCCACATCCATAATGAATTCTCTCATGATTTAGAATGGGGGCCGTTCTCATACACACTGCCCCAACACACGCACACATACCCACATCCATAATGTCTAGTCTCATGATTTAGAATGGATGTCGTTCTCACAAACTCCCCCACACGCACACATACCATATCTACTCTCATCATTTAGAATGGGGGTCGTTCTCACACACACACGCACATATACCCACATCCATAATATCTACTCTCATCATTTAGAATGGGGGCAGTTCTCAGACACTGGCTTTCCCTACACACGCACACATACCCACATCCATAATATCTACTTTTATCATTTAGAATGGATGTCATTCTCACACACTCCCCCACACACGCACACATACCCACATCCATAATGTCTAGTCTCATGATTTAGAATGGGGGTCGTTCTTACTCACTGCCCCTCCCCCACACATACCAACACCTTAAAGGTACTATGTCCCATTTGCAGGCCAAAAAAATGAAAAAGTTAAATTCCAACTGCATTTGAAAGATAATACTAATTTAGAACTTCCCTAAAAAAGGTAGGGCTTGAAAATGTCTTCGATTGGGAAAATAATGACTATTAGTTGTCAAATCGACTTTAGGGCTATAGAGCCCAGAAGTAATAGTCTTGATTTTCAGACAATTGTACCGAATGGTCATACGTTTTATGCTGCGCAAAGATTCAATCAGTTTAATCTAGGCCATCACAAGATGTGGGTTATTGATGTAGACAAATGCTCATGTACCATTTACAACTCTTTTCATGTATGTTATTACCAAAGAAGGAAAAAAGGCCAGTCAGTCACTCAATAGTGTCTGACAGTGAAGTCTAGCAAGTAAAAGGGTTTCCTTGCATAATTTGAATATGAGGACACTGCTAACTTTTAAATTTCACAGATAGGACATACATGACATATTGATAATTCCTGCAAAGTTCTACATAATTTGAGGTTGGCTGCAAAAGGGACATAGTACCTTTAATATGTACTCCCATGATTAAGAATGGAGGTCGTTCTCACACACACACACGCACACATACCCACATCCATAATGTCTACTCTCATGATTTAGAATGGAGGTCGTTCTCACAAATTCCCCCACACGCACACATACCCATAACCATAATATCTACTCTCATTATTTAGATTGGGGGTCGTTCTCACACACACACGCACACATACCCACATCCATAATGTCTACTCTCATGATTTAGAATGGAGGTCGTTCTCACAAACTCCCCCACACGCACACATACCCATAGCCATAATATCTACTCTCATCATTTAGATTGGGGGTCGTTCTCACACACACACGCACACAAACCCACATCCATAATGTCTACTCTCATGATTTAGAATGGAGGTTGTTCTCACACACTTCCCCTCCCCCACACGCACACATACCCATAGCCATAATATCTACTCTCATCATTTAGATTGGGGGTCGTTCTCACACACACACGCACACATACCCACATCCATAATGTCTACTCTCATGATTTAGAATGGAGGTTGTTCTCACACACTTCCCCTCCCCCACACGCACACATACCCATAGCCATAATATCTACTTTCATCATTTAGAATGGGAGTCGTTCTCACACACACACGCACACATACCCACATCCATAATATCTACTCTCATCATTTAGAATGGGGGTCGTTCTCACACACTGCCCTTCCTCCGCACGCACACATACCCACATCCATAATGTCTAGTCTCATGATTTAGTATGGGGTCGTTCTCACTCACTGCCCCTCCCCCACTCACGCACACATACCAACACCTTAATATGTACTCCCATGATTAAGAATGGATGTCATTCTCACACACTCCCCCACACACACAAACCTACCTACATCTATAATATCTACTCTCATCATTTAGAGTGGGGTTCGTTCTCCCACACTGCTCCTCCCCCACACGCACACAAACCTATATCCATAATATCATGATTTAGAACCGAGGTCATTCTCACACTCTCCCTCACACACACGCACACAAACCACATCCATAATATTTACTCACATGATTTAGAATGGATGTCATTCTCACAAACTCCCCCACACGCACACAAACCCACATCCATAATACCTACTCACATGATTTAGAATGGATGTCATTCTCACACACCCCCACACGCACGCATACCCACATCCATAATATCTACTCACATGATTTAGAATGGGTTGATTCTTAACCGCTGCTACTAACCTGGAGAAAACATCTCTGTGTTTTACCACACATTCATTGCGGTATATAAATATTTATTTTGTTTCATCAATGTAACAGACTTACGATGATTTTAGGGTCATTGCCTCGACGTGGTCCTAAACAGATCTAATTTTTTAGAAACAAATTTACTGGATGATTTGTTATGGATTCCCGCAATTAAATCGATAAACCCTGCTGGAAAGAACATACTCATTCACAGTGTGAAATCACAGTTCACACTGTGAACACATTGAGAAACACAGTGTGATTCACACTGTGAATGAGTGTGAATGCGTGTGTTCTTTCCTTTTCCGGTTATCCACACTGTGAACCACAGTGTGACACGAATCGACCACAATGTGAAAACGGCCCAATTTAACATTGTGGAGCACACTGTGATTCACAGTGTGAAACACAGTGTGATTCACACTGTGAATTAGTGTGAATGCGTGTGTTCTTTCCTTTTCCGGTTATCCACACTGTGAACCACAGTGTGAAACGAATCGACCACAATGTGAAAACGGCTCAATTTAACATTGTGGAGCACAGTGTGAAACACATTGTGATTCACACTGTAAATGAGTGTGAATGAGTGTGTTTTTTTCCTTTTCTGGTTATCCACACTGTGAACCACAGTGTGAAACGAATCGACCACAATGTGAAAACGGCCCAATTTAACATTGTGGAGCACACTGTGATTCACAGTGTGATTCACACTGTGAATGAGTGTGAATGAGTGTGTTCTTTCCAGCAGGGAATTCATTACACTTTGCATCTAGTTTCCAAAAACCCTTGCAACAAATACTTACTTTTATGTATGTCCGCTTCCTAGACAGCAGCTTTATGGTCTCAATGAGATACAGGTACGCGTCCGGCCAATCCTGGTACTTCTTTTACAAGAGGTACGTAATCACAGATGTGCATCATGTATAACCTTTTATTCCAGGATTGTTCAAAGTCTATATTCATATCTCTTAATTTGTGTGCGAATATAAATGACAAAATCTTATTATTTCTGTCTATTGTCTTCGAAGCTTGTTTTGGTACCACGCACTCTCATTTTTTGTAATGGTGAAATTCAACATATTTATAGTCGTATTCATATTATTATTATTATTATTTTTATTTTTTTAAAATATTTTTTGGGGGGGATAAAAATGTGGGTTGCCTTTCTATCTGTCAATCGGAAAAATGTTATAGTGATGCTCTGAGGAGACAAATCTCTGCTGGATGTATATACTTGCTTATCTTGTATTTCAAACAATTCTTACGATATCCTTTTTTAAAAAAATCAAATGAATTAGTCATTCTGTTTTGATTTTGCATTGTTTCTTGCCTTCGTTTTTCTTTTAATGGTACTTTTCTTTTTAGTCCATGATTACTGGTTCTTCTCATTAAAAAAAACCCCTCTAAATTTTGAATGAAAGCAAAAACTGTTGAATTTATTTCAATAGATCTATTTGAATTTGATGTAAAACTCATCTATGTCTACTATTTAAAAAAAAATTAATGTTGGTGTAGGTGATGAACCCTTTTTACATTTTTCAACTCTTCGTCGTCATCTTCTGGTTTTGTATCAACTACATCTACTACACGCTTTGTATCGTGGTGATGTCGGCTGTTTCTATCTCCGTCTCACTTTACACAACGAGAACGGTGAGCTTCCAGATATTTCATTTTAAGGAATGTTTTTTATTTTGTATTTATTTATTTCTGCATACGGGCGGAACACCCTAGTCAGCACAGCTGTTTTCATATGGGTCCAATTAAAATACATAGCATGTTTTTACAAAAGAAACAAGACAATGAATCAAATATATAAATATCAAATATGTTTGAGACAACATTGTTATGTTGAATGTTGAATAGAAAAAGAAACAAATAAACTATTTTCGCCCTGAAAATATGTTTGTTCGATTGAGAGTAGAAAATGAGAGAACAACTAGATTAGTGAAAAATTTAGTAAAAAGGATAAAGAAAATGAACTTGTTAACTTATTAAGTTGATATTGATAAATTGCAAATCGGCAACTCTGTGACGCACCTGTGAGTATCCCTCTCATTAAGTTTCCTACTGAAAGATCATCAACCCATTTCCATTTTCACGGCTGTTGACTGTGAAACGGAAATGTTATATAGAGGGGATGTACATTAGACCTTATCCAATTGCTGAGCCTAAGCGTGCTCCCCAATCTCAATCATTGCCCGAATCCATTATCATTGATGCAAATATAGCCCGAAGCAAACATCGCAAGAGTAAAGTTCATAATAATGAACATGTTTGCCTATCATATCACCGACATATATACGTCAGGATATATTTATCGTCTTATTTGATCAGTATTCATCATTCCAATTCCTCAGTGCATGTGCTTGTAATCTAATTCTCAGTTAGGGGCTTATTAAGATCAGGTTTTATTGATCTTCCCCATAAATGTCATTCCTCACATTTTTAAATTTAATTTACTCATCTTTTATTTTCTTTCATGTTTAATCGATAATTTTCATTTAAAATGAAATATCACATAGTAACTTCATAAACCATGGTGGATTATACTATAAAAACATAAATGACATGAAATGTACACGTGTCTACATACATTAGAAAAATCAATCAATTGTCAAAAAACTATTATTATTATTACTAATGTCAACAAAAGTACATAACATAACAAGAGACAAACAGTAAACTAAGCTTATCAGAAAGCAAAACAGTAAAACAGAGAGCAGGCACCTGGCCAAATGAAAATGAAAATAAAAATGTAAAACATAACCTCTCATTCTACCCATTCAATACACTCTTGCTGGTCAGTGGTGGAGCCAGAATTTCAATTTAGGGTGAGGGTGGAAATATTATTTTCTGGTAGTTAATACAATTTCAATTTGGCTACACATCACTGCAACACCAAACGACAGCTACACATAGCGAGGGAATGTAGATATGTAGTAACAATGTGTTGTCTATTATGATTTCCTGTGATGATATAATATATTTTGTTTCCATATTTTAAGAATTATAGTTCCGTTGAAGGCGTGTCATGAAATACCACGGTTACATAGTTACGTAGCTCCTTGTGCCTCGTCCATTAAAATGCTGCGCTGACCTATTTAATAGACATTTACGAGATCATTATAGTTGCAAACAACATGTTGAAATTAAACTAACTAAAATATCTACGCAAGTAATTAAATATCTTTCGATGACAGATTCCATTTTATCGATGGTTAAAACAAGGTTAATAGCACAATTTAGGAAGACATCAACTACTGTAATTGTATTTAAAGTTCCTACGTTAGTTTACAAAGGTATCATATTTTGTTAATTGAAAATAAAACATTTCTTCGGTGACAGGAAAGCACTCGACTTCGGACGATGGCAGAGGTTCATGAAACAGTGGAAGTTTTACGCAGAAACGGAGGTATGTTATATTAAATAATATGGGTGGTATTCTCGAAAGCGGACTAACTTTAGTCCATGGTTTAATCCACCAACTCATTATGGAATGCCAAGTGTCCATATGAATATTTTTTCTAATAATTTAATATGTTACTAAATTAAAATAAAATGTACATAACACGATATTTACTTGGGTAATATCCCAAAGTCTCTTTACCCCCCCCCCCCCATAATTGACACATATTCAGCTATGGTGCCCCCACCTGTGAAAACGTGGGTGCAGTCTATGAAAAACGACCAAAGTGTGTAACTCGTTTGGGATATATTAAAACAAATGAACAAATAGGTGGATGTTAAGTATGTACAATGTTGAGTACATCCCATAAGATCAGAAAACAATCACGACTTTTTTTTCGTCTCAATGGTCTTTTGTTTGTTTTTTCATTTTATGTTGGGGCGTCGGTTTAGATTTTGGTAAGGGGTGGTTTTGTCAGGCCGAAGACAGGGATGGGTTAGTTTTTTTTCCTCGTAATTTCAGAATCTAATCGATTGTACAACTCCAATGAAAAGCGATGGCCCATTGCCACGCCCCCTAGCTCTCTTCTCCCATTCTAAATATGCATGACCCCCTCTCCTTCCATCATCCTCAAGATGTATAGACGCCCTTGAATATTTGATATTGAATAGTACCAGCAACCTCTTGATAACTCCAGATCGTGAAACAGTGCCTAACTCGGAGCTTGTACCTGGTGACGTCATCATCATCCCGACCAATGGCTGTAGTCTAACCTGTGACGCAGTACTTCTCTCGGGCAACTGCATCGTCAATGAAAGTATGCTCACAGGTAAGTGTGAAGCATTATATTGGCCACAATTTTAATGAATGTTAAAGATAAAGGTGAGTTCTGGTAATGCGATTGTATTGTGAAAGAAAAGGTGTGGAATTGATCAGATAAAGCTGATCATGGAGCATGTAAATATTGGTGTGCACTGCAAGGTTCTGGGATCATCAAAATCATAGTAAATTTGGCCCAGTCTTGGTAAAGTATCAACCACTGTACACAGAAAGATGTATATGGGACTACACAAATGGTGTCGGGGCTAGCTTACCTTGATTTCCTTATCTTTCTATGCTCATTACTCAGCCAGTATACATTTTCTTCCAAAATGGTTTGGCACATGACAATGATTTGTAATCTTGAACATTTAGTGTAAGTTTCGTTTGAATATGTGAGAATTCATTTTCTTTTTTTAACCAGAACTCAAGTTTATCTTTAAGATCGAACACAAAGTTAGCCTGGCACTATCAATTTATGTTAGACCATTTTAGCCACCATAATCATATTTCGAAATTGGCCTGTTATGGGTTCAAATTTAATGATTGAATAACTCCATAATGTCGGATAAGGAGAATCGGTTAACGTACATGTACTGAGTTTTTCGCATAAAATGGCGCCATACAAGATTGGACGATCACCCTTTTACATTAAAATTAAACGCAATGGTATAACACGAGGTAAGAAATAATCAGTCTCCCATCCTCTTCTCTATCTCTCTCTCTCTCTCTCTCTTCCACCCTCTCTCCCTCTCCTCTTTTTCTTCTTCGTCCCCTACGGGATTCTCCTTTTTTTAATTCCCTTGTTACATTCAGACCAAACCAGCCATTTTCTTTCAATATGTGGATACGCTCTAACGCTCTTTGAAATTTACTACGCTCTTTATATCTTCTTGAATCCTTTGTTTTTTTTCTTCATTTCATTTTTCTAACAAACTTAAGGGTTAAATCAGTCGAGAGAAATTTGACTAAGTTGTTTTTTCTCTGAGGATTCGGAGTTGGTTTATTAAAGCTCGACTGAAAATCGGCGGTTATTTTGTTATACATCGGAGATGACTGATGACCACAAATGCGTGTTTGCATGATTTTCATACCAAGTTCCAATTTATTATATTAAAAAAAGCTCAAAACAGACGGGAAAGCATCCGCCCCTGTTTGGATCCCATCTTGAGACTTGTTAATCATTTTTATTCCTATACCATTTTCGTAACACAGGAGAGAGCGTACCCGTGACAAAGACGCCCCTACTTAATCCCCAGGGTGTTAAAATGATATATTCCATGGACACACATAAAAGACACACTCTCTTCTGCGGCACGAAAGTGATCCAGGTGCGAACTCATGGGGATGAGGCTGTGAAATGCGTTGTTACTCAAACAGGTAAACATTTTTTTTTTTTTTTTTTTTTTTTTTTGGGGGGGGGGGGGGGTTGTTGGACACACGGGTGACATATTCGAAGCACAAAATATGAAAACAATCGCATTTCTATCATGAACAGTGGAATCATAGAAAAATCTTCTTCAACTACCGTTGTAACTTTTCTTTGGAATGTATTGAAAAGGTATCGTGAGTTAAATGAATATTTTACTTCGACTTACGTTATAAACCGTGCCAAGAATGCACAATGAATTTTTATACTCTTACCGCCTCGACGCTAAAAGCCTTCAGCGTGTACGTCTCACTCAATGTCACCTTGCTTGTTAATATGAGATGGTGCAGTTCACTTTACATTTGACAATACCAAACAATTCTTAGTTTTAAACTAATAGTTACCAGGGAGTATGTTTTGTAGCTAAACTCACGTTTCCTGCAAAACAATTTACCTAGGGTTTTCAACTGCCAAGGGACAACTGGTGAAGTCTATTCTCTACCCGAAGCCTACCGAGATCAAACTATACAGGGATGCCCTGCTCTTCGTTGGAATACTCACAATAATAGGTACGTGTCTATTGATTTTGAAATGAGGGGGGGGGGGGTTAATGCCTGCAAGGGTGCCAGAAGAAGTTTTGCATGAGTAAATTTGCATTTGTAGCTTTGTCGGCAAATCTTGAAAATGTTAGGACCTTAGGCTTATTCATGCATTATTTTTTGTTTAGTTGCAAATATTTGTATTCTAGTGACATGTCTGCGAGAGAAAGAGAGAGAGAGAGAGAGAGAGAGAGAGAGGGGGGAGGGTAAAGGTAGATAGGGAGAGAGAGAGAGAGAGAGATAAAAGAAAATGTCCTGGGTGTTATTTTGGTGAAAGAAAATTTGATACAAAATATTGACCATAAAAGAGAGCGTTAGAATAAAACTGGCAAATGGTGTTTGGGTGACTTGGTGTGATGGATACATCATCGGACTGTGGATCACATGTTTTGAGGTTCGAGTCCCGTCGCGGCACCAATTGTCCTTTAGTATGACGTTAATCTATATTTGCCACTCTTAACACAGGTGTAGTGATTTGTTTAAATAACGTTTTAGCCCTCCATTGGCTTTTTTCATTGAGTCAAACGAAACATTTTACAATTCAATGAAATAAAGTCTTTCTTTAACTCCAATAAAACAAAATTCGTTCATATTTCTCTCCTCGATGTTTATACAAATTAATGTTGAAGGGTAGTAAATTGGCTACAAAAGTACATTTGAGGCGCCTTGAGTATACCCTGGGATGAATATGTGCGCTATATTTATGTACCAATTTTTTTTTTTTCAAGAGCGAGAGGCAGAGAGACAGAGAGAATTTTTTTCGCAAAGATAAGACAGAAAGTGAGGATAAGAGAGGAAATGAAACGGAGAGATGAGAAAGAGAGAAAAAAAAGATTAAACAAATATATATATATTAGTTACCCATGACAGCTCGTGCGTTAATACCGCTATTTTTAGTTCGGTTCTTTAGTAAAGTACACTTGGTGCAAACTTTAGAAAGTTTAACTTCCTTGCATTTGGAGGTTGCTGGTCTTAAGAACAACAACCTCCAAATTAAAGGAAGTTTAGCTTTCTAAAGTTTGAATCAGTCTGGCATAAAATCAATTCTTATGTGAGTTGTGGTATACACCACTATGCTTTTATTACTTAGTGTACTTTCAGTAGCATTTACGTATCTACGCTGCTTTTATTACTTAGTGTACTTTCAGTAGCATTTACGTAATACGTAAATGCTACTGAAAGTACACAAAGTAATATAAACAGAGTGGTGGATACCACAACTCACATAAGAATTGATTTTATGCCATTCTGATTTCTTCTAAAACCACGATCTTGTGGCTGAACAGGTTGAACACGGGTGATTCTCCTGTAATAACTTTCATGTTCCCCTAGGACATGTTGTACATGATATACATCAACCCCCAAGATGCCGTTAGTTTAGTATACTTGTTTTTACTCTGTGTTTATTGGAAAGCATGCTTTATTTTTTCAGACCTTCAGCACATAAAAATATTTCCCATCTTGACCATTAATTGCCCCAGTGAGAAATAAATCTTGCCACTATTCTTGCTTGGTTTCTTTTTCTTTACCGTTCACGAATAAATCAAATCAAATCAAAGTTCTAAACTTGTCGCCATAGTGCAATATTTACTTCCGCAACTTCTGCTTTGTCACGCATTGCTTGGCTTTGTTTTTTTACCTTTGTTTTCATTTTGTTTCTTTTTAGATTTTTTGAGAGAGCCTGCCAAATTTCCCACGAATAAATAGCGATGTGCATTGTGATTATATATCGTTTACTAGTGATTTATCCAACCATACATTTGTTACCTATTTAAAATCCTCTTTTGTAATATTGCTTTTATATTGGTGTATATCCATAATTATTGTATTTCAGTAAATTTATTCTATTTGATTTGATTTGATATGCTTAACTTTTTTAAAGTATCTACATGAACATCCGCTTTAAATTCCTGAATACCCATATACCATGAATACAAGTTTGGATTTTATTATTTTAATTTAACATGGATTTTAGTCAGTGATTATCTTTTTAAGATTTTCTTCCCTTTGCTCAATTTCAAAGCTATCATCGGGTTTATCTACACGGCGGTCATAATGACGCTTCAGGGGGTAAGAACTTACAATAAATACTTAGATTTATAGGAAGGGAGTCTGAGAGTTGAAACCGGGACTTCTCGTATACCCCGAACCAAAATCGTCATTATCTTTCTTTACTCCCCTACCCAACCAAAATAATCATTGATTCCAGCAGCGGAGAAGAAGATAAAGAAAGGGGGTAATATTTGATAAATGTTAAAGGTTACACATGTTAAAAATATAAATGACATCTGGTGAAAAGATTTTTTAGAAGTTTCTCGGACCTTATCCGATGCAATTATTGTTTTGTGAGCAGGGGAAAATAAAGAAGTGTACTTAGGACAAGGCCTTTTTTTATGTGTGTTTTTTTTTTTTGGGGGGGGGGGAGTGTGGGGGGGGGGGATAATGCCTACAGAATGTCGAATGTGCAAAGCAACCAGTCAAACCTTGTGATATGAATATGTAGGCTTCATATGGTAAGAGCTTTAAAAAGTGTTTAATAGCTACATGAAAATAAGGGCTTTTAGACTACTCATTTCATGACATTTGCAGAAAATAACAATCTTTAAAACTGGACATCTGCATGGTAGGAGTCGTGGTTTATGAAGGGTTACTCACCTCGGAATATGCTAAATTCATTCATTCTTATATAATTCATTTGTCTTATACATTTCCTTCTTCTAAGGCAAGTGCCTCCAAAACGATTATCCACGCTATCGACATACTCTCGATCGCCGTGCCCCCAGCACTCCCCGCTGTCTTAACCATCGGTATGGTGTTCGCCCAATTTCGGCTAAAAAAAGAAGGCATCTACTGCATCAGCCCTCAGCGAATCAACCTATGTGGGACTGTAGATGTTGTTTGCTTCGACAAGGTTTGCTTTTATTATTATAATAATCATTATTATCATTTTATTTAAATTTTTATTTATTTGTTTATTTACTTATTTTATTATTATCATTATTATTATTATCATTATTATTATTATTATTATTATTATTATTTTTTTTTTATTTTTTTTTTATTTATTTATTTATTTATTTATTTTTTTTTTTTGGGGGGGGGGGGGGGGGGGGGGGGGTGGCACATCCCGCCTTTGTCCCCATGTTTAAACTCAATGTGCCATACATGCACTAAGTCCATACAACCAAAAGTACAAAATAATTGTACATCTGCACCCCTCTTATTTCAGACTAAAGAAACCCTCGCTCTTTTGTCTCTTTTTGTTGGGCCGGGGGGGGGGGGGTGGTTAGAATATGTTATATTGTACCCCCCCCCCCCACATCAGATTATCATTGTTTAAAGTGTACCATAAGTAAAATGTCTGTTAGAGATTTTTATAAAGACAATATCGGAATTTCCTTGTATATAATCTTAATCTTTCATAGAAGTGGGTGTAATATATTCTCCGAAGTCGCCACTATTTTTCTATCTCTCTCTCTCCTTTTCTCTTTCATTCTCATTCTCTCCGTAATCCCCATCCTCTTCCGGTTCCCATCTCATCGCAAACCCTCTTGTCACAATCTCTCTTCCTCCCTCTCGTCCTTTTTTTCCAGACGGGAACACTTACTGAAGATGGACTTGATCTTTTAGGAGTGCAAGCTGCTTCAAAAGGAAGGTATTAAAACCATGCGGTGTAAAAAATAATTTATTATCTTGTGTGGTTTGTTTCCAAGAATTTCAAATGCAGAGAAAAACTTGTACACGTTATAAAAATAAAGTGAATTAATGAGGGACAGAGGCGAGAAAAGTATTTTTGTACAGGTTGAACTATGAATACAGGTGTCAATGGGAAACTCTCCTCATAGGAAAGCAAGAATGTGGTCCTTATATGCAGGGGGTCGTGAAGGCCAGTTTTGACTGTATTTTTTATCTAGATCAAAATGTAGTATATATCGAGGGGTCAGTGACACAAAGACGTAACTTCATTTTGGCCATTTTTAGAAAAAGTGTTTTATGTGTCACTGAGTTAAGTATATGTTTCACCAGCCATTGACTTCGATGGGGTGTTGGGTGGGGTTAAGTCTTTGTGTTTCCTGGAAATCCCACATTTTTCTGAACATTTTGATTTATCAAATACTCATTTTGGCAAAATATGGAGTTACGTCTTTGTGTCACTGCACCCTCGATAGGTAGTATAGTTTGTTATTGAATTTTAAGGGTTATGTTGCCTGTTAACTGAAACTCGTTTGTTCGTTCGTGTCTCCTTAGATCAAGATTAATGTATCTTGATCTTCAGAGTAGTTGCTACAACCGGCCGTGTCAGACACGTTGCCCCGGGGTGCGAGATAAAACTACAGTTACAATAAGCAAATGTTGCTAGAACATCGACAGGCTTAGCGACTATATATTTTTACTCTCTATAGCTTCAGCCCGATGGTAGCCGATGCCAAGTCGCTCTTCTCCGAGCCCGTCTCCGTTGCTATGGCAACCTGTCACGAGCTAATGGAGGTGGATGGAGAAATAACGGGGGATCCCCTGGATATCAAGATGTTTGACGCGACAAGTTGGGTAGGTAGCATTTGAGATTCATGCCGATTCGTTTAAACTTTATTGACAAGCATTTTATGAACATTTTCTCCATCGCAGACGAATCTTTTCATCTGCTAAGATAATTTGAGTTTTCTGTTGTACGCGGTAAGCCTAAATTTTGAATTCTCTCATCAATACCCGACTTCAGACACATTTGTTTAGAAAATCCTTGCAGAAAAGTGTCTTAAATGACATCCTCTTTAACATTATGATACAATTTAAGTGAATTTTGTCATCAAATTTCGGGGCTCCCAACACTTTAGTGGGACTTTAACCCTGTAAAAATAGCACATGTAAAGAAGACTTTCTTTAATAAGGGGCAGAACCATTGACCACGTTTAGAAAAGTTTCATGAAGTCAAAAGAGTCCCATGATGAAAGATCATGTTAGAATGCAAAGTGCGTTTTTTCATAAACTCAAACGATTGCTTTTGCAAATCAAGCAGCCCTTAATTCCCACCTCCATTCTTTAATAACTATTTTCTAGAACCAGAACCGTTCTTTTAAAAGAGTTGTAAACGAAGGGACAAAGGAACGCACACATTGAAGAAAACAAAACTCTAACAATTTCAAGAATTGCATTAACGGTTTAGCGGTTGTTTTTCTTGATCTTGATTTATAAAAGTATACCCCCTTGAAATAAGCCAACTCACGGTTGCAGTCTGAGCATGAGCAGATAAAGGTCATAGCAGAACAATTTTTGAAATACACGGAGACGAAATACTGAATACGTGCTCATGAAAGTTATGCAATCATTATTCATTCATGCACAATCAGTGCACTTCATGATACACAGGTGGAAATATTTCTTTGAAAAGGGGAAACAAAGACTATTTATATAGCACCTCCATCGCTGTAGGAGTAATTATTTCATAATGTACAAAGTGGGACCTCTTCATGTTTTGAAGATCTTTGGATATTCGGGGTCATTGCAGTAATATGCTAACCGTGAACTGGTCTATTGGCGAGCAATCCTGCGTGCTCACATAATTAGCATATCCCAATGAATATGTATAGAATATTTATTCGTAATATAACCCATACTCTCATTTCCTGCCAGGCCTGTTACTGTTCCTATACATGTATATTAAACATTTTCATCCCTACAACAGACCCTGGATCTCGGTGAGAAGGCGAGTAGCCGGCTTCCAGGTGCAATGGCGATTGCGAAGACCGGTTCGTCGGACCAGATCGGAGCAAAGGGCACTCTTGATGAAAAACAGGTCAGAAGATGTTTTTTCTTTAAATTATTTAAATCTCCGGCTGTTGCTTCTATTTGACTATTTGATTAAGGTGCTAGAGTTTTGGTGGGAGACATAGGTGTCAGCATGGTCAGTTGTGAATGTTCTCATTCTTCTTATTGCATGCACTTTAAAACAGCAATAAAGTACACTGGGAAATGTGTTAGTTGACTCGAGGCTAGAGCTAATTTTAAAAGAAAATCATGAAAAAGAGGTACACAGATGTTACGACCGCGAAATCTTTCTTTTCATACGTATGTTAACACAATAAAAGTAAATTTTCCCTTGTCTTCATTAAAGCATCTCATATGGTGGCCCAGACGGGTCGTCTCGTATTATAAACTTTGCTGTGAAATTCGCGACAAAATATGCGACAAGTTGCATATTTTTTCGCATATTTCAGAACAAAGTTCATGATACGCTATGTCCCTTGTGGGCCACCATAATCTCAGAATAGGGCAACCTAAAAAGGTGCAAATTGCATAGCGTTACAATCTTTACGTTGCTATTATTACCGTTATATTTATATACCCTTTACACGTCAGATACATTAATCAAACTAGTTAAACAGCATGCATGTTACAAATATGACTATTGGTATGGCAGGAAGATTGATCGAAGCTTCACTAGGAGTAGTAGCTACCCCACAATACGTACATTATACTTTGTCTTTTCACAGGAGTTAACCGAAATTGCGACGTTAAAGATATTTCCTTTCGCGTCGGCTCTTCAGACCATGTGTGTCATTGCCATGGATACAGTGACCCGGAAGACATATGCCCTTGCGAAGGGGTCACCAGAAAAGATTTCCAAGCTCTCACAAAAAGACACAGGTAACGAGAATAACATGACCCTCCCACACGCACTCCCTTCACGTTTACTAAGAGGTCCTACAAGATCGAAAATACGCCTATAGTAAAGGTTAAGTTGAGTTCTGGAAAACAATGTTAATGACGTCTTACAGTATAGCCAACCAAATGTAACCCTAAACATAACCTAAAACACAATTGAAACCCTAACACTAAACATATTCTTTGGACGAATTAAAACCCGGAACAACTGTTTATGGGGGATATGTAGGATTGGAGCTGTTAAATTGTCAGCCCATCATCCCTATTTATCGAGGACGCAGACTTGGTCAAACATACACTGTAACAAAAGAAATCACAATGTCATCACAGTTTGTCAATGTAAATTAATCTTAATGGGAAGGATTTCTGAAAAAAAGAAATTTTGCTGAATTGTCAAAGAAGTGTTCCATTAAATGCAATATCTCGTATCTTCTTCTTATTTTTTAATAGTGCCACTGGACTTCCAAGACGTTTTAGATGGATTCACAAAACAGGGCTTGAGGTTAATTGCATTGGCATGGAAACCCATCGATATCAACCCAGACGATCCCAATGAACTTTCAAGGATCCAGAGGTTAGTAAAACTATAAAATTATCATCATTGTTTTCGTCGTCAGGTTCGTAACCGAATTTAGTACCACTATCATTATTATTTTTTATAATCATTGTTTCATTATCATTCCCATTGTCATCATCCTTGGCATCGGCATCATCACGGTCATTATCTTAATAAAAACACAATACTTTTTCTCATCATTATCATCATCATGATGTGGTGCGTTCCTCTTTCTCCTCCTCCTTCTCATCCTACACCTCCTTAACCCCTCCACCGCTCCTCCCGATCATCATCATCATAATCATCATCATCAGTATGTGGTTCTCAAATTTATATGCTTTGGCAAATTGCTAACCGAGTCTGGGTAATTTAACTAATGCCCGAACAAAATGATGTGTATTATTTGTTTTATAAAATTATGTTTTATTTGTTTTATAACATGATTTTACTAACGACCGGTCATTATAAAAAAATACGTGTTAGGCGAAATAAATGCCTGGTCACGTGTACGCTCTCAACCAATCATTTGATTAGGATCCACATCATCATCTTCTAAGTACTTCTTTCTAACGACTTTCGTCATTATCATCTCGAAGTTTAAGGTCAGCTGATATCAATGTTGTAATGCTGTTTGTTAATGGGATGTCGATGGAGTTACAACTGTTTCTGTTCGACTATGTCAGAAGCTGTTTTGAACAGAATTGTCTATATCTAAATTCCATTTGTATTTTATCGTCTGGCATGTATGTAGAGATATAGTGGAGTGCGATCTGGAATTCGCTGGTCTCCTGATAATGCAAAACAAACTGAAACCTGCTACGACTCCCGCCATTACTGAACTAAATGAAGCCAATATTAGAACCATCATGGTGACAGGTAATTTCAATCAAATATTACTTTATTCCCCCTCCCCTTTTTTTAAAACCGGCCATTACCATTATTTTACTCTTTTTTTAAAACCGAATATCACCATGATGGTAATTGTGCCTACTGTCAGTTTTACATCTCCTTCTTCTTATTCTTTTTCGTCTTTGTCTCTCACTCTCTCCCTCTCTCTGTCTCTTTCTCGGTCTGTCCCTCTATCTGTCTCTCTGTCTCTGTCTCTCTTCACAATCTCTTTCTCCTTCTATTCGAGCTTGTATATTATCTTGTCGCTGTGCCCCCTCTGTGTGTGTGTCTCTCTGTCTGTTTCCCCCCATACCTCCTCTCTCCGTCACAAGTCTACGAAAAAATATAGCTAACGTCATATACATGTACATGCCGATGTTCGCTTTAATAGGGATGCAGACGATTTTTTTTCTGCAGTTGTAGATCGGCCCATAATTCCCTTCCATGTTCTGCTATTTCACATTGAACTCAATTGCATGTTTGTTTGTTTGGTTTTTAATGTGATAATGACTGTCTACTTTCCATCCTTTGGGGGCATACTTTTTGCTAGGAGACAACATCTTCACAGCGATCAACGTGGGGCGGGAATGCGGCATGGTTCGACCAGGCGCAACCATCATGCGCGTCGAAGCCGGGCCTCCCCACGACCACTTGAAGGCCAAACTCGTCATTACACCTCTGGTCGATGACGTGCAGAGAGACGTCGATAATAATTGCGATACAAATGGGGTGAGAATAATTCAGGAATTGTTTTGATTTTGTTTCAGTCTGCCTCTTGTGTAATCTTAAAAAGTGATTGTACTTGATACAATTCACCTTCTCAGTAGGTTTTTTAAAATTATTTTGGAATAGTTATTATTGTATGTTTTAATGTTATTAATAAATATGTTTGATGTTATTTTAATACATTTTAAAGCCTTCTTCAATAAACAATGTGTTTTCACAAATAACTTTTTTATTCTACTGAAAGTAAAACCACTGCATGAAATATTTGTGACGCATTTCTTTGCAGTAATGACTTTTATTATTTACTGCTTCATGCACGACTACTTCTTCTACCACTACTACTACTACTACTACTACTACCACCACCACCACTACCACCACCACCATCACTACCACTGCTTCTACTACTACTACTACTACTACTACTACTATTACTACCACCACCACCAATACTACTACTTCTACTACGACTACTACTACTACTACTACTACTACAACTACTACCACTACTACCACCACCACCACCACCACTACCACTACTACCACTACTACTACCATACCACCACCACCACCACCACTACTACTACTATTACTTCTACTACCACCACCACCACCACTACTACTACTTCTACTACGACTACTACTACTGCCACTACTATTACCACCACCACCACTACTACTACTTCTACTACGACTACTACTACTACTACCACTACTACCACCACCACCACCACTACTACTACTACTACTACTACTACTACCACTACTACTACCACTACTACCACCACCACCACCACTACTACTACTTCTACTACTACTACTACTACTACTACTACTACTCCTACTGCTACCACCACCACCACCACTACTACTACTACGACTACTACCACTACTACCACTACTACTACCACTACTACCACCACCACCACCACTACTACTACTACTACGACTACTACGACTACTACCACTACTACTACCACTACTACCACCACCACCACCACTACTACTACTTCTACTACTACTACTACTACTAACACTACTGCTACCACCACCACCACTACCACCACTTCTTCTACTACCCATACTTCTACTACTACTATTACTATACTGTTGATACTACAATTGCTATTACTATCATTACTACGAACAAATCCACCACCACTTCTTATCGTTTTCCTGTAATTCTAGACGATGAAAGAAGATAAAGTGCTCATTTCCCAGCAGGGAGAAGAGAGCCCATTGATAGCCTGTGACGGTACAACCTTCGGCATCATTCGAGATCATTACCCCCAAATAATGCCAAAGGTAATAATAATCATTATGATCATAATGATATCAATAATGATGATAATACAATAATAATGATATTACTTGTAGTGATAATAATAATATACTATACTTATAAAGCACATATCACAGATAGTATGTTTCTATGCGCTGTAATAGAGAGAAGGAAAGAGAAAGAAAAAACTAGAGGAGAGTGGGACACGCTCACCATACTTCTTGAAGTCACCAGTGAAATTTAAAGCTTCATTTTAAAAACGGTTTTAGTCGTTGTTGAGGTAAATTGGTCTTCATACACTAGGAATAGATTTTCATTGTAGGTACACATAAATTGACGTGAAGCCAATCAAACCGTTTGGACAGAAAGAAAAAAAAATCAAAGTATCTGTATAAAATATTTAATTAGAAACGAAAATAAAAGTAACAGTAATGTGCATTTCTTTTTAACACCCCAAAGCTTATCGTTATGCTAACAACTCCTCGTAATGTTTTTTTCACATCCATTCAGAGTTAAACAAAAATATCACTGATTTCCAAGAAATGCATCAGAACTACATCATTACCACCCATATCATCTGAGCGTCCAATGTACATGTAACTATGTCAATTTGATAGATATTCACAAAGAGGATGACAAACGTTTCCCCAAGTTGAACAGAGTTCAAACTACCAAACTAAATTTTGCGAAAGACATATCTGATTAACCGATTGAGCGTGCCGTGTGCGCGGTCGTAACCTCTCAAATCTTATTATGTCATCAATATTGTTTTGACAAATAGACGAGCTTGTCGTTCTTGACTTAAACATGGACTCAAGAATTGTGAAGAATTTTATCACGGTACTTCAACCTTCATTTAAAGATTTTATTTTCCAAAATGTTTGAATTAATACAGATCGCAGCGCAGGGTGTAATATTTGCCAGGATGTCCCCTGACCAAAAATCACAGCTGGTCGAAACGCTCCAGTCACTGGGTCTATCTGTTGGCATGTGTGGAGATGGTGCAAATGACTGCGGTGCTCTCAAACAAGCCCATGTCGGCATAGCTCTCTCAGAGGCCGAGGCATCCGTAGCGGCTCCGTTCACCTCTAAAACGGCAACAATCAGCTGTATCCCGACAGTCATAAAGTAAGTTGTTAACTTCAGTTGATTGGAAGTTTTGTTAACACAATGTTTATGTTCAATAAGTTCTTAAAGTTTGAAGTTGAATCATTTATGTATTAAAGAAAAAAAATGGAATTTGAATTCAATACAATTTTGAGAAAAATAGAGGGTCAAATTTTCGTCAAAAAAGGCCTTTTTGATCAGTTAATACATGCATATGTATCCCGACAGTCATAAAGTAAGTTGCTAACTTCAGTCGATTGTAATTTTTTTAACAATGTTTAGAATTTAATTTATTCATTTCCAAAGAAACTTACATCAGCCTAAAAAAACTGCTTTTCAGCAAGTCCGTGTTTATGTCCTATAACTTCTTAAAGTTTGAAGTTTAATTATTTTATGTTTAAAAAAAATGAAATTTGAACCCAATACAATCTTAAGAAAAATAGAAGGTCATTTTTTCGTCAAAAAGAGCCTTTTCATGTTAGCCTTTTTGATCAGTTAATACATGCATATGGATACGATCGTCATAAGAAAACACATAGCTCAGGTTTAATAACTGGGTAGACATTCACAGTACAAGTATACAAACGCACACACTCACACACACACGCACTCACACTCATCGAAATAGTCTTTGTATCATTTATAACTTTGGTTAAAAAAATTGGTGAATTATTATTTTATGTCAAGGAATGAAAGGGGAAAAAATAACTAGAACCCTCACAATCCTGCAGTTTTGACCAAAATAAACTTTACGTTAATTATATTTTATTCAGTCTCTCACTCTCTCTTTCTCTTTCTCTCTCTCTCTCTCTCTCTCACTCTATGTTCCATTTTGTAGGGAGGGTCGTTGTGCCATGGTGACGTCATTTGGTCTGTTTAAGTTCATGGCTCTGTATAGTCTCATCATGTTCACCTCTGTAACAGTACTCACTTCGGTATGTTTATATCCATCGACATCCCATATTACAATGCTTATACTTCTCGTCGCAGTAGCAATATATTAATGTGTATAGATTAATTTGTAACTATATAAGAATATACTCTATGTCACAAATACACCGGTCGGAGAAAGTTCAAATTGCTTAAGGTTCCTCTGACCAAAACGCCCTCACCTTTGGTTCCAAATAGTCTGTTCTTGTTGTTTGTTATGTGATCCGAGATTGTTACAAGTTATTTTTTCGATAGATTTGTACACATGTTCTTATTTTAATCTTACAATTAGGGTTACAGCTTAGGGTTATATTGCTTTAATTTCACCAATCTTACAGATACAGGTTATATGTTACAGTTTAGATTGTATAAACGTAGTAAAGTTTAGTTTGTTATACTCTATGTAAGATTCGTTGTTATTATACTCATCATATTTATACACCACTCTTTTCCATATCTATATGTAACATGTGTTTTATGGACCTCTGCCTTGTGCAGCTGATTCTGAAATAAAGTTAAATTGACTTAAATACTAAATTGAATTGAATTAGGTCACTTTAACCTCGTATTTTTAGGTATCATTGTATTCTAACAGATTACGCCACCATTGCACGTGTTCTTCTTCCACCTTATCCATTTCGTTTCAAATTCATTCTATTTAATATGTTATTGTGCTTATATATTTTGCATTTTGGGGTGTAGGTTCAATACTACATTGGCGATATGCAGTTCTTCATTATTGACATCGTGCTCTGCACTTCATTCGTACTTGCAGGTGAGTCAGGAATACATAATTTTGGCAAGGTCCTCGGAATTTTCATCAGATTCCATAGACTTTTAGATGAATTAAATATCAAAATACAAGCAATCTCTATCTGCTATGATTTTGTTCTTTCTTTTCTTTCTTCTCCTTGAATAAAATGATAAATAAATCGAAGCAGAAACATGAGTTATATCCCGACCACGGATCTAAGTTCCCACTTGCCAGTACGACATGAATGTGTTATTATACAATTAAAAAATGATGTTTATAACATGATTTTACTAATGACCAGTCATTAGCACTTACTTATGACCGGTCATTAGTAAAATTACGTGTTAGGCAAAATAAATGCCTCGTCATGTGTACGTCCTGAATCCGTTTCATCATCTTATTAACCAGGGCAGGTGCGCGGATTTGTACGATCTATACTGTGAGATTGCAATGCGGTGAACTTCGATCGGTGGAGACAGAAATTACATCCATCCTCCATTTGGGACTCCTTTAAGATATAAAAATATTCAAGAGCTTTCATCAATTATATCACAGTGCTCCCACAAACGAAATAAGGGTCGTTATTCGAGCATGCGTAATAGGTCCATGTGATACGTCAGCAAAGGAAATAAAGGTCACAGTTCTTTCTTTTTTCTTCACTCCTTCAATGCTCTATCATGCAATATGTATTTGGATTCTTCCTATTTAGTTGGTTACAACAAGGCCTATCATCAGATATCAACCAAACGCCCCATTACCAAGCTGGTCACCCCTCCTATCGTGTTCTCCCTCATCGCACACGTAGTGATCCTAATCGGGTTCCAAGTCCTAGTGTTGGTCCTGGTCCTCAATCAACCATGGTAAGTCCTGGTCCATATGTCCTATTTGTCCCTAGCTCTATTCGGATCCATGTAAGGTATTGTCATCATTTATCATTAGGCCCATGGATCATAATATAATACGGACTTTTAGATTCGCACGAAGACAATGGGGATTGCTACGATCGACGTCCTTTTAATGCACTGCCTTGAATGGACGTCACATGTTTCAGTCCACGCAAATCTAAAAGTCCCTATTCTCATTATTGTTACAATCAATGGCGTAGCCTTAGTCCAGCCTACGTAAGCTATTAATATTTCAATCACTTTCTATGTAGGTCTATGTAGGCCAGGCCTTCTCAACTGGCGGCGCGCGCGCCACTCGTGGCGCTTGCGGTCAGTCAGAGTGGCGCGCGGCTGTTTCAAAAAATTAATAAAAATTAAAAATTAAAAATTAAAGAAAGAACAACATTAAAAAATTATATTTTAGAATAAAAAAAAACTCAGAAAAATTAAAAAGTCGCAGTCGAAGTTGAGCCCAAAATGTAAGCAAGCCATTTTGTTTGTTTGATTTTTACTTCATTTTGACATTTTCCGTGTTTATTGCACAAAAATAACTACATATAATTAACTTCCAGTGTAGGTTTTAGCCAGGAATTGTACTAATTATTTCACATCAATATGAAATTATTATTGATGTTTTATGGAACAAAAAGGTGTTAAAATGCCACATCTGGGCCTCAAAAAAGTCCTAAATCCACTAGCTTCCGGGGGCTTCGCCCCTTGGACCCCACCCGGTATCGGCTCGGTCGCTACGCTCCCTCGTAACACAGTCACCAAACTTCAAACGTTGGCACTTCAACCTCAATTCATTTTTGTTTTGGCGCTTCTAATAAACTAGTTGAGAAGGCCTGATGTAGGCCTACCAAAAGACCTCGTTTCACACAAGCAGCTCAAGAATATAAATTAAGACAGAAATCAATGTTAGAATTAAAAGGAAATGTTTCAATCCTTTTCTCAATTACCAAAATCTCTGAAAGGGAAAATCAAAGATGTTAGTACATACAAAAACTAAAAGGGAAAATAGAAAAGGAAAACGATAAGACAAAGGTAAAGGGGCAGAAAAGAAACAAGAAGCGGTTGTCACACTTGAAGTGTTTCGGGGGTATACTAAACATTGCTGGAATAAAAGAAGGAACAATAAGAGTCAGCATTTATTTGTGCAATTTGCATATAAGTTTAACTCCTCAATTTCTGATTCAACTATAGGTATGAGCCCTCGGAGCTAGACGAAGCACACAGGAACGTTGTGTCGTACGAAAACATGGCAGTTTGGCTACTTGCAAATTTTCAGTACCTTACCCTAGCTTTCGTTAACACGCCGGGGCCTCCGTACAGCAACCGATTTTACAAAAACAGTAGGTACCAAGTGAGAAAATCATTTACAATTAAACAGAGAAGATAGACATCGTAAAGTACTTTTGTCTATCTGTCTTTCCTTTCATCTTAAATTGTGCTTTTGGAGTCGTTTAATATTCCCCGTATCTTTTACTTCACATATAGGCCTAGTCCGTAACAGTTCATATACAAATAATATACCGGGTTTTTTTCTTGGGGGGGGGGGGAGGAGGGATATAGGCCTACATTAGTTGTGAATCATTAGGTCTATATTATTAAATGATGATTTCTTTTTAAATTTCCATTATTATTATTATTATTAGCAAAACTCACTACTGACCTCTATTTTCCTTTATTTTCAGTTCCTCTTTTGATCGTCTTCATAGTCGATTTTCTCATCTGCCTCGGCTTTCTTTTCTATCCACCTGCCAGAATCATCAAAGCATTTAAGGTAAGACCCTCTACTGACATGTAAATAATGCTGCGGCCCATTGGTTAGTCCAGATCCGGGTCTAGATCCTGTCCGTTTTTTAATAAGCCAGTTCACGGTTGCAGTCTGAGCATGAGCAGATAAAGGTCATTGCAGAACAAATTTTGAAATACACGGAGACGAAATACTGGATACGTGTTCATGAAAGTTATGTAACATTATTCATTCATGCACATTCAGTGCCATCCATGATACACAGGTGGAAGTATTCTTTGAAAAGGGGAAACAAAGGCTATTTATATAGCACCTCCATCGCTGTAGGAGTGATTATTTCAAAATGTAAAAAGTGGGACCTCTTCATGTTTTTAAGATCTGTGGATATTCGGGGTCATTGCAGTAATGTGCTAACCGTGAACTGGTCTATTCTCCTACGGCACAAGCATCAATCCCCACACACAGCGTGGTATCTCGATCCAATCATCCTGCGATACCCCAAATTAACCGTCGTTTTCCCTGATTCGCAACTCAAACGTGAATAAATTATTTTCAATTTCGCCTCCCTACCCTATAGCATAATCTGTAAAACAATACATGTACAAGTTTCATAATACATACTATACCTGTATCCTGGGGAGCACCACGCTTCGACGGCAAGACAATGCTATACCATATAGCTCCCCCATGTCAGACGTCCGTTCTACAGCGTGTCGAACTAGGTCAATGAGCTTTGTAAGCTCATCGAATCTGAATACTGCAAAACGGCACCTGTTCAACATTCTTATGCTAATCAGTTAGCTCTGCTAACAATTACAAATATATACAAGAACGGGTGCAGAATGGCAAAGTCTACTGTCAACGTTGAGGCCGTGTTATTGTATCAGCCGATTTGGCGGAAACGGTCCACAGGCTGGACTACCTATTGGTCCAAAGCTCCATTTAACTCTATTTGCATAACCCTAACCAACTAATTGGTATAAGAATGATCAATTCTAAAAAGCTCGGTTCGACGCTCAATTATTGCTGTGAGAAATATTTATTTCTTAAAACAGGTCGTCAGTTTCAATGTGCAGTAGATGATAATTCACTGACACTAGACTTTAAAAACAAATTGTATTGCCCTTTGGGTGCCAAAACATGAGTTGGTCGGTCTGACGTAATCTTTTTTTTTCTTTTACTTTTTTTTTCTTTTTTCCTTCCTCTTTTGGCTGATATTTCTCAGTTCTGAAAACTTTAATAATATTCGCTCAACATTGTTTTCTTCTAACAAACGGTAAAGAGCCAACCGTAGATTTCAAATTTTGTTGGGTCGGTCGCCAAGGGCAATACAACATCTTTTTTTTACGTCTAACGGTTGTACAAGTCTGGCACAGAGTAAACCCGTAGTCCCACTAAGAAATGCCCCCTAGTCTCTCTGAGAGTGTTCGGGTGAGGGAAATGAAGATATTGACTTTTCTATGTGGTGTGATTGGAGGAAACTGTAAAGTGTCAAATGAGGCCTGTTAATTGGTCATAAAACTGAAGGCTTATTATGGTGATTAAACACCCGTTATTAAATGAACACCCAATTGGTGTCGAATTCCCAATGGGAGCGCACTGTTATGCCTCTTTGAATATCGTGATAAAATGTGTATCTTTTGAACTAGAGTATATCATGGTCCAGATCAATAAAATTCTACGAATGATATGAGCTGATGACGGTAATTATTTTGTACTAAATATTGCAAAATACTGGATACGTGGTCAGGAAAGTTATATGTACAATACTGATAAACCTTTTCCCACCTTTTCATCCGTTTTATCCCATTGCAGTTGAAGCATATCCCTTCCTACACTTTCAAGGCGCTGATCCTTTTTCTCGCAGCAGTGCATTTCATCATTGCGTTATCTGTCGAGGTATGTGTGCTTCTTCTGAAGTAAGAGATATTGAGCTGCGTTATGATTGAATGACAATCCCAGCGTTGTTTATGTAAACATATTCCAAGGGCATGTAGCAATGAATATTGATTATATTGTTCAACAAAAAACAGTACCCTCAAATGTCACGCCGATTACTTTAACAAGGACAACATTCACAATTGTGTATGCAGTTGTTAACTTCAAAGTGCTTTGCGAATAATTGATTCACAAGATCAGACAACATTGATATCCATGGCATTCGTTGAGTTGATTCTTAATATAAGGACTTCTAAGAGTACAATAGAATGATGATAGGCCGAATCACCGGTTTGACTTCATGTACACATAATGCAATGGGTAGTGAAATTATGAAATTTGTATGAAGTTAAGAAAATAAGTAAATAGAAAAATTTTGAGAATTTTAATCAGACAAGAAAACCGGTAAAATTAAAATCATCAACTCGTAAGACAAGTAGATTTTTAAAACATTTTAAAAGATAAATTCTATTTTTCATTGCAGTATGTTCTGGCGCCCTCTAAGCGATTGATGAACCTCATCACGTGTCAGTGTTTTCGCAAGAAAAAGGCGCCGAAATACCACGGAGTCGAACTCACTGTGCTTAAGAAACCGCTCATGGACATCCTTTCCGAGTCGGAAACCATCGCGTGTGAATAAATCCGTGAATGATGAGCCGAGCATGAGCACGAGGACGACATTAGACACGACATTGACTATGGCAATGGATGGAATTTATGCTGGTGAAATGATTACGTAGTTAAAGGCATGACACATGAGGTGGTCAACCGCTACGGTCAAATAAAACTAGAGGCATACATCACCAAATCCATCAGACCAAAAAAAGCTATTCACACACTAGTATATCTCATACCTCAATCCAGGACATAGAAACTCCTTCTTCCCCAGAAATGTGAAGACATTGAACATCCTCCCAGTCAATGTCGTGACAGCCCAACCTGTCGAAGCCTTTCGTCTCCACTTGACGAGAGGAAACAGTAGCAAGACCCAATGCTGTCTTTACTTGTACCTTGTTGATTATTGGAACATGCACCCACACACTCCACCAAAGAATTGCAAGAATCTTCAAGATTGAAGGAAGCAGACTGTTCCACCAAAAAAATGATTATGGACTTGCAGTAATTGTTTGAGTGGATTTATATAAGAGGTTCACGAAAAGATTACTCTCGATGTTAATGATATGAATGTGTATGTTGTGTAACTGATGTAGCAATGTAGCTGCCGAAAGCCAGAGCCTGCTTTAATTTACATGATTACTTTTGATAAAAGCAACCAAGAAGAATTTATTATATGTAAAATAAAGATGGAATGCATTTAATCCATCTTAATAGCTTACCACGTATTCTGACAATGTGGCAAAATAGAATGTACATATTGAAATATAAAAATCTATAACAGTTTTTTGTAAATATTTTTTTTATCGACATTTTCCTTGTACGCCGAAAATGATAGTGCGTTTTTATAAATGTATAATCAATAATGAGTACATTCATTCATGTATAATTTGAACCCTGTAACTTGTGTTTCAAAGTCACTGGATTTATCCACTAGATCACGACTCCTCACCCAAAATGTTTTCGGAGGTGAGGAAAAATGCATTGTACTCACAGAAAATTTACATAGCACAATCATAGAATTGAAATTGTAAACACTCCGTAACGGAACATATGCGACATTCCAAGTTAGAAAGGAATAAAGCCTACAAACCTGTGATTTTACAAAAGTGATAAGAATGATGAAATATAAATCCTTTGTAAGAATGCTATGTTAACATGATGGCAAAGACTCTGAAGAATAAACCAAAGTCTATTCCAATAACCCTGTGCAGTGCTCACAATACTCTCATTGCTTGCTGCCAAATCTTGGCATCTAACCCAGATGTGTTGGCTCAGCCAGTAGAGCATCCGCCTCACAACCAGGAGGTCGTGGGTTCGAACCCCGGCTACCTTGTTTGGCGTTCAACAATAAGAGATATCGCAACGTCGATCTGGCGCTACTCAGTGGCTGCCGGGCTCACGATCAATAAATAAATTATTGGGCAGAAAGAATTTCCTTTTTCGGTTTAACTTAATAAAATTTGGAGTGGACTTTAAAGGATTATTATTATAATTATTATAATATTATTATAAACATTAATATGACGTATTACGTAATCGGGACATGATATCTATAGGCAGTGCTATAGGGTTTTGAAATTTCCCTGAAATTGATTTCTCGAAAGTCTTCGCGATCGTGTTATTTTCTTCAGGACGTATACACTGTTTGTTTTATAAGTCTAGATATTTGGAGGAGAATAGCTTTATATACCATTCATGTTTATGTATACTTGTATAATCTTTGATCTTATTTGTTGGATAATCAAGTACCAATTGTTCAATTTAAGAAATAAATACATACAAAGAGTTATTATTAATTCTTCTCAATTTGACTTTTTTTTCCCAAGGATTTACAGCAAATATCATTTTGTAGCTCGGATTCCCGTTATGTATGTGTGTCGCCCCCTGCCGGCATTTAACCTACAACACCTCACTATTGAAGATCTACCAGTCAATTCGATGCAATTCAGTGGCGGATCCAGGGGTGGGCTGAAGCGGCGCAAAAAAATTGAGACGGAAAAAAGAGGAAGAAAAAAAAAAAGGAAAAAAAGGGGGAAAAAAGGAGAAGATAAAAGAAAAGAGAAGAAAAAGGAAAAGAAAAGAGAGAGAGAGAGAGAGAGTTCAAAAAGAGGAAAGAAAGAGAAGAGAGGAGCCGGGGAGAAAGAAAGACAGTCAAGTTGTCAAGTTGTACTGTTGTACTGTGTATAATGTGTAGACCAGGGGTTCTGATATTAACACCTTTTTGTTCTCAACCGCCTACCAGTCAATGTAAATAAATGAGCCATTGTTTTTGGAGTGAGATTACCGGCACATAATGGCCTTTGACCCACAATCATAACTTAAGCCCAATCTTGGCACAAGAGGATTTTGACAATACTTTTTGAAAAGTCTGTTGTTCAGTCATCCTTAGCAGCACAGCTATGAACATGGTATCATGAGATAGGTTACTAGTTCATCTTTACCTTTAAATATGATTTAAGGTAACATAGGTTATAACTTTTCAATTAGAAGCCACCAAATATGGGTACACTTTGTTGTATACGCACTGTACATAGTACATGCACATTTAAGTGAACAGATCTTTTTTCTTTCACCTGTTAACCTGTTAAATTATTTGTAGTTGAAAGGTCAGGATGCGAACTGCATACTTTAATTGTTGCTAGGTAGGGCAAGTTGTATGGCTTGTCCTACCTAATAAACGGACCTATTGGGAAATGTTGGTTGGTATAGCGGTAATGTCCGTGGTACGGTTAGCATCTCTGCCGGCATCTCTGTCTTCGTCTTTCAGATGGTGAAATTAAAGGTTGGTCCAAGACGTAAATAATCATATCTTTTTGATAAGCACCTGTAATAAAAATGATAAAAATAAACAATTATACACAACACAAACACCAGTGCGTGCGCACACACACACACGCACAGACATTGCCGGAGAGTGGCATGCAAACTGAAATAACGACAAAGGACACACAGTGTAATGCATCATTGCTTCAAGGACAAAATCTTATTGTTACAGGTGATATAACATTACAGGTACAGTGTACATATAAAATTATGGCTTTAATTTCTGCAACAAAATTGTATTACTGAAATCGCCTTTTGCTTTGAGAAATGTGCTGGTATAAACAAATTAGAACAAATTAGAACGATCACGATGATAATGCTAGTAATGCTAACTATTGACACATACTGACCCTTTGGCCTGAATTCACAAAGGAAAACCTCCTTTGTGAATTCGGGCCTTTATGTTCGAAAGACAAACTTTTGAAAGGTTAATGATTTACACCTTTTAAATCTCAGCATATTCATGTTTCAGTTGTCTCGCCAAGAACTCCCATCAGCCATAATTGAACTCTTTACAAAAAATGACGCTATACACACATACCAAACACGACATGCAACACGTGCAAACTATCATCTACCTCTAACCAGGACAATTTTCGCCGAAAAAACTATTTGATACCCAGGACCAAACTACTGGAGCACTATTGATCCGAATCTCAAACAGCTTAAAAACTGTGGCAGCTTCAAAAAACATATCAAAAAGTTATTATTGAATTCGTACGTGTAATGCACAACTACACTTTTTTTTTCTTCCGACTGTGACTCCCGACCTAGAACATTCTATTCTAAAACCTTCTTTTCTCTCTTCTCATTCTTCTTCTGACTCCCATTCTTTACTTTCTCTTCCTATTTTTCTTCTTTCTTACATCAATCATCCATATCATTTATATTATACAGTTTAATTATTATACTTCTACCTTATTATAAATGACACTGTGTCAACATTATTGTGAGGAACTTAAATTCTACAAGCTATATGCATTTTATTAAGCTTCTTTTTTCACATGTAATTTCGAAATTATTTAGTGTAAATGCCATACAAACTTATGCTGTGTAGATGTCTTTATTGTTCACGAATATCAATTCTGTAAATATGCTATGTTTTGTTAATGTATTGTATTTTTTCATGCGATATAAAAGAAACTAAACTAAAATTAGACTGAAGGCAGAACAGGAAAACAGGTGAAATGAAAGAGAGCTTGACGCAAGGCTGAAGGGGGCAAGATAATTTGTACTTGTATGCATTCAATGTTAAGTCCGCTTTATATGACAAGATATATAATTCTTTGAAAATATACTCTGTTTGCATAAAAGGTAAAGTAAAAAACTGCAGGGTTATGCAAAAAATGTAAAAGCAATATGTTTAGATGTTATTGTTACATACTGAATGTGCGGTACATAAAACTAATTGTTTGGTCGTGAATGTTTGGCTTCCTGAAAGTAATTTTAATTTTAATTTCTAAAGAAATTCAGGCTGGCACCCAGTAAATAAACATCTTGTTGTCAACCTTGTAAATTGACTTGTCTTAAATTACAACATCGAGGACGGCATCTTTAAGCTGAAATCTCTTTACAAATTGAAAAAGATATAGATTTTATGAGGTTTCTGATATCAGTGAAATGATATTTAGGAGATTGATTCACGCTTACTGGAAAAGGCTATCTGGCAATTAAGAGCAATCCTCCGTATCATGACAATTACCCCCTGGATGATTACCCCCCCCCCCCCTGAACAATCATCCCCTCCCTAGGAATATTACCCCCTTAGTGCCTTCAGTATCAAACTGCGTCCCACAGGATATATTCAAATCTGGCACTTAATGATTTAATTGAGTCCTCCCCCCCAAACAAAAGAGGTAATAAACAAAAGAAATAACGGCTGTTTCTTATTGAAGTATGTATGTTGAATGTTCGAAAAGTAGCAAGAAAAGAAGTTATGGCGAAGTTTTCAGACAAATTTAAGATGACTCATAATTGATAAGTTGATGATTGGCAATTCATTCAATCCTGTACTTTCCAATATTTTGCATTTTTATATTGTCAAAAATCTAAAAGAAGGCCGACAAATGGGAAAAGCAGACGAATGACAGTTTGAAGAAAGAAAAAAATTGAATCCCCCGAAAATTGTAATCACTTTAAGTATGAGAACTTCATATTGGCTGGATCGGTATTGTCACTGTGATGCAGTGGAGGACTACTTTCCCCTTTTTTCCAACACAAAAAATGGCTAAAATGGCAATTTTTCAAATGTTATGACTCAGGACCATGTCTTTTTAGAAGACCTGCAATAATATGCCTTCCGTTCCATAATTTATTTTGAGCAGTGTCCTAATTGAGAAGGCTCTGTAGGAGAATATTATTTCAATTTGAGATTTGCACACACTCAGTGATCTCATATTTATAACATTCATAAATCTCTTATTATTAGTCTGATCTATTTCAATTTCATTTCTGCCTGCATGCAAATACACGTATTCCAAAGGTTAGATTGCCTTTAAAAATGAACCGAACAAAAGTCGAACAACAACAAAACCATTGGAACGTTATAGAGGAAATGTGAACCTACCC